TTTCAGGTATCACCTTTTTGCTATCATGCTTCAAATTTCTGATGATGGCCAGGATGGTGGCCAATATGGCCTCCAAAATGGTAAACAAAATCGCCAAAAAGTCAAATATCAGCCATAAAATGTGATGAAAACATCAATACATTTTTTTAAATATGTTTATAACCCTTGCAAATTCATTTCTGGTATCTATTTCATGCTACCGTGATTCAAATTCAACATGGCGGCCAAAATGGCGGCTAATATGGCAGCCAATATGGCTGCCTTATTGGTAAAAAATAAAAAAAATTACGTCATATATCAGATTATCAGCCAATGTGGCCGCCAAAATGGTAAACAAAATCGCCAAAAAGTCATATATCAGCCATAAAATGTGATAAAAACATCAATAAATTGTAAGTTATATGTTTTTAACCTTGCAAATTCATTTCTGGTATCTATTTCATGCTACCGTGATTCAAATTCAAAATGGCGGCCAAAATGGCGGCTAATATGGCAGCCAATATGGCTGTCTTATTGGTATTTTTTTTTAAGTCATATATCAGCCGAATAATGGATACAAGCATCAATATGTTTTTTACCATCGCAAATTCATTTTTTTTTTTTTTTTTTTTTGCTATCATGCTTCAAATTCATGATGATTGCCAGGATGGTGGCCAATATGGCCACCAAAATGGTAAACAACTTCAAAAAAAGTCATATACCAGCCATAAAATGTGATGAAAACATCAATACAATTGTTATATGTTTATTACCCTTCCAAATTCATTTCTGGTATCTTTTTCGTGCTGTTATACTTCAAATCGAAAATGGCGGCCAAAATGGTGGCCAATATTGCGGCCCATATGGCCGCCTTATTGGTAAAAAAAAATAATTTAGCCATGTGCTCTCTAGCAGGTAATCTTCCTGAATGGGTACATCCAATTCTATCTTAATGATCTGACCTCTTTCACTGCGCTGCCCTGTACCGGCCCTTTAAGGCTGGTATGATCATCAGCCGGTATTTTTGCGGATTAGCGTCTATTGTGTAAACATGGCGCAAACAAGTTTCCAGACTCTAACTTTCCACTTTTTAGATGGATGGCTGGCATTTATTTATTCATTACATTTCGTTTTAGCGCATTACCTAACAGTTTGGTTTCTATGCAAGTAAAATTTATCAAAAGAAGAGCAGAAAGTCCTCCTCCCGATGGAAGTGGCCAGTTAATTTCTATAGCAGTCACCGGCCTAAGGCATTTTGTTGACCATGGAGGATTAAGTGTATTAAATATCCCTTATTGTTGGGTCCCAGATGCTGGACCTGGAATTATCAGGCATGAACACATCAAATCACCTATAAAGGGTGGGTGCCTCAGCCAGAGTCTGGACGATGGCGCAGCCGGTTTAAAGAGGATTAAACCCTTGCTCTATGATTAAACTAACCGGCCAAGCTACTGGCTGGCCTGTGCTTAAACCGGCCGGTGCTGGAAGCCAGGCCTTACTACGGTCACTTAGACCACCATCTTGAATTTGGAATATGTTTGCAAGTTAGACGAATCCAGACATGCAGTGAAGTTTCAAGTACATAATGTCAACTTTCACTCATAGACACCATTTACATTTAGGACCAATATAAGGCTATTTTTTTAAAATTTGACCATTTTTGGCAGCCATGTTGACAGCCATCTGGAATTTGGTTCATGGTAGCAAAACGAAACAAAAAAGCAAAATGAATTTGTAAGAGTTAAGAGCAAGTATCTAATATTTAAATGTATGCATTTATCATATTATTTGGCTAATATATATCATTTTTCTCACATATGACAAATTTTGGAGACCGTTTTTGTTAGCAAAAAGAGATACCAGAAATGAATTTGCGAGGGTAAAAAACATATATATTGATGCTTGTATCACATTATTCGGCTATGATATATGACTTAAAAAAAATACCAAGAAAGCGGCCATATTGGCTGCCATATTAGCGCCATTTTGGCCGCCATTTTGAATTTGAATTACGGTAGCATGAAATAGATACCAGAAATGAATTTGCAAGGGTACAAACATATAACAAACAACTTTATTGATGTTTTTATTACATTGTATGGCTGATATATTACTTTTTGGCGATTTTGTTTACCATTTTGGCGGCCATATTTGACACCATCCTGGCCATCATCAGAAAATTGAAGCATGATAGCAAAAAGGTAATACCTGAAATGAATTTGAGAGGTTCAAACTCATATTTTACAATTATATTTATGATTTTATCATACTTTTCAATGCTGATAAGTGATTTTTTCCATTTTTTTAACTAATATTATGGCAGCCATTTTGGCCACTAAACTGGCCGCCATCTTAAATTGAAGCATGATAGCAAAAACGGATACCAAAAATTAGTTTTTGAGGGTCTAAAACATATAACTAACCATTCTTTTTATGCTTTTATCAAATTATTTGGCTGATATATGCCTTTTTTCCAGTTTTTATCATTTTTGGCGGCCATATTGGCCGCTATCTTCGATATCTCCTTCGCATCGGATTTATTTTCCTGTTAACATCCAAAATGTGTTTTAGGACCCTAAAAGGCACCCCCAAAAATGGTAAAAGTTAGTTTTGGGGGGTGCACGGGGGTCGCCCATACATACTCAATTATATGGTGTGTTGTCACATCAATGGAAGTCGAAGGATGGAAAACGCGGCATATAGCAGAAAAACTGATGGTTTTACCGCCCACATTTCACGACAAAGTTATCAAGGAATTACACGACTGGAAAGTGTCACGTCACCCTGGCGTCTACAAATCACTGCAAATAGTGCGCTGATGCTATTTCTGGTCTGGCACGACAAAGGATGTACGAACAACAGCATCAAAGTGTGAGGCCTGTGGCCATTGGCAGTCCAAAGAAAGGAAGGTTCGTGGAGCACTCAAGAAGCACTCGGCAAAGTCGCCAAGCACGGTAAGAGAGAGCAGCATGGTGGGGCCACGTGTGTGGAAAGTGAGGCGCTCCAGCAACATTCCAGTGCAATTCCAATGACAGGTTCAACAACATTTTTCTTGCGAGAAATCAGCAAGGTTCCAGTCACATTCCACCAAGACTTTGGTAACCCTCCACTGACATTCCGATCGCGTTCCAATGAGACATTCCACCAGTAATTCCAACGATAATTCCACCAGTAATTCCGAGGATAACCCACCAGTAATTCTTCCAACATTCCACCCAGACTCCAAATACGAGTTAAGATGCCTGCGGACAAGGCCAAGCTTGAGCACGCAGTGGAGATGAACCACTCTAGTTCTGGATGCGGACAAGCCGACGACTGGCATTGAGATCCTCGAACTCAGCCACATGAGCCGAAACACCACCGTCCTCAGCTGGAGTGTAGAATGACCACGTCGAAGTTTAACCTCGTACGCCACCTGAAGGAGTGACACAGGAGGGACTCTAGAGACCGACACGTCAAGAGTCACCGGGGTATCAGCACGAGCTCCTCGAATCACGCCCTAAAGCCGCAGACAACCCATCCCAATCCACACTCTACCTCTCCCCTATGCCACCTCTGCCTCTCGAGCCCATCATTGAGCTGCAGTCATCCTCGGGACCGGAATCATTCACCCAGGTGAATCCAGTGGGACTGCATCCACGGACAAGGGGAAGTGCCTGAAGACCCTCATCCGTGAGTACAGCGCCCCTATGACGGTTGATTTGTCAACTTTGGACACCGACGACAGGGAGGCCGGAGGTCATCCGACAGAACCTGCTCCGGCCAATCCATGCACCGTCAATCGCATCAAAATGATCATTTTGATATATTTTTCGCGACGACGACATTTGCGAGGGGATCTAGAGGACCTTCCACCTTCCTTAGATAATACTGCTCAGGTGAGTTGAAATATATTTGTATTCCGTACAGTTTATTTTTATTAATGTTTTACTTATAGTTATTAGAGGTTAAAAAAAACCTAATAACTTGTTGTCTTCAAACATTTTTCGTTAGTTGTATTTCTGTTTAACTATATATATTTTTTTTCAATTTCTCAATTGTTTAAAGAGTTGATGATTATTTTATACAGTTGTTTGCATTTTTCATATTAAAAAGTTGAGGTCGAACCTGGAGTTAAGCTGAAGTTCCGAATTACACAAACATACTTGTTCTTATATAATTGCATTTTCAAAGTTTTGTTTCAAAGAAGTATATTGGAATGTGCATAGAAAGTTTACATGAGTGACTATTGTGGCGGAAAGTGTTTGAAGAGAAAGTTAAGCTTTAAGTTTTATATTGAATTATTCTGAAGAACTTAAGATGTAGTCACACTTTCCTTTTATTTTTGTATTATGGCTTTAGAGTATGGGAACATCCTCTGCCATGCTCGGGACTTTGAGGCGGAAAGTGTTTAGTTGGTGACGTCATACCATAGCACAAACGCTTAATCACTTGTGTGCAGTGACTGGGCGGAGCTTACGAACTCCGTCGGCTGATGCGCGTACGCGAATAGCTAATATTCCCCATAGGTTTAGCGCACCATAGGATTAGTGCATGCACGTGGTTTGTAGACATGACGTAGTGTCTGGTACATGTGTTTAAATGCGTGCCTGGGGAGCACGCTCTGTTTTTGGTTCTGTCTTTTAGGTTCTGGTTTTAGATGAGATCAGGTATGGCGGACTGATTGTGCAACGTTGTTAGGTGAGATACGTTATGTGTGCCTAGTTTTGGGGCTCGGCTGTTTCAGGTGTTGAGTTCCGGGTGTCTGGAGAAAGCGGGCTAGAGCGTAGCTGCGACAGCGGGCAGAGAAGTATGTGAATTACTTGTACACTGCTTATGTGTAATTGCTTAGGCGATTTGTGTAAAAGTCTGTGTAGCTGTACTGGAGTTGCGCTGGTATGTGTAGCTTAATTCTGGCTTACACACACAGCGTAGCGGGTACCCTGCTATAGGACTGTATACATTGCTAAGGGGCTGTTGTGTGCTTGTGATGCTGTGTTATTACTACTTAGCGATTCATAACCAGCGCTGTGTATAGTTGCTCATTGCTGCGATTGTTGTCTAGTGCTTAATGCTGGGTGCGTTGTTGCATAGGCAAGCAGCGGGCTATCTCCAGTAACTAAGGACCCTGTTAATAAAACAATCGACCGAATCACATCCTAATTAATGTACCTGATTATTGTTGAATATATTACGATCATTGTTGTTTGAGATTACCGACAATTCTGCTTCCGGTGTTTCTGTTTAAAGGTTTACTGTGCAATTAATTAACATAGATAAATAATAAACACTCATTAATCGGGCGGTAGATTTCCACCGAAACGGACCTGCACCCTTAGCCTTGAAGGACGCTCTGAGTGATCTCTCGTCTAGGGAAAAGAGCCTTGGTTTGGGAAGATTGTTTTCACCCCACTAGGAGTCAAATTTATCCGAACAGACTTAGGTTGGCCCGGGGGGTTCCCGCCTCACTTTTCATGTCAAATATGTTCGTCTAACTTATTTTAGCTTAAGTGTTATCAACTGTCTTATACCTAGTTTTCAGGGGCTTAAAACTTTGGGAGGGGGGCTATGTGACGAAATAGCAATTATAAAGTCACCAACTGTATGTATTAAATACATTAGAACAATGTGAGTCATCCACACTCTGCATAATGGGAATCCTGGTATCTGATTGGTCAATTGAGTTAATGCACTGTTGAACGGCAAACAGAAGTTGTACTCGGCCTATGGGGCTCAAAGTCTATAAAAATGAAATGCAGGGTCTAGGATTTATTAAGTTTACTTCTTGATTCTTCAATGATTAGAATAATTGCTAATTGCTAAGGCTCTTGATTACGATGGAATGACATGACGATATATGATGATTAAAGGCTTGACCAATCACACTCAGTAACACACTGAGTATAAAGTGTTTAACGTCGGTGAAGGGCAAAACCTATAATTTGATTTATATCTCTCCCCCCTCCCAACAAAAAATCCTTCTTATAATACTTTATGCGGTGCCCGCTGCTATGTACATGTACATCAGATTCGAACCGGCCAACCGATCCCGTTAGCGTGAACCTGGGTTAGTGGGAATTTAGCGCTGCACATAGCGCCGCTACTAAACCTGGGCAGAGTGAGAATTTCCGTCAATTTCAATGTAATTGCTAATTGGGTAAAGTCCACACCCTTACCTACATAAAATTTACAAAATCCCACTTTATCCAGGTTCTGTAGTAGTGCAATGTAGGAATGTAACAATAGACAGTTTGGCTCTTGGGCATGGGCACTGTATGCCTCTGTGTAAACGTTTGCATGACAATCATTAAAATACGTTAAAACTTCGTACAAATGTCAATATGTAAGTTTTGGATCTATTCCTACTTTCCCGGGTTGTATTAAAATTCCCACTTTGCCCAACCGGAATAAGTGGGACTTTGCTATATTGAAACGTGATCATTAAAGATTTACACATGATCCAAGTCTAGTTACTTGGTACTCTGCTTTACGGTTATCTGCAATGATTGTTTGGAAAATCTCTGAAATGATATTGTTGACAAAAAATGGTCCCAATCGTAAACAAACCGCAGTGGTGTAGCTGGGGTGTGCAGAGTGGTTGGCGCAACTCAACGGGCTAGAATTTTAAAGAGCAAATTCGGGACACTTGTCGAAGCAAAATCGTGACTGCGAACATGGAGTAACGGGACAAAAATTATATTCTGCAACGGGCAAACAAAACTGTACAGGCTCTGCGCCTCCAATCGAGATCCGAGGAAAAGGAAGCTCATGCTAAAAAGATGATATTTTCTGGTCACGTTCTCAGACAATATTTGTAAACATATTTCTCTTAATAAATATACAGTGATTGTACCAAATATCGATACGAAATTTAGGTCCTTTGAAATTCAGGTCCATCAGTGGTAAAATACACAATTATTTCTGAATACTCAGAAATGCAAAATCATCAGCCTCATTAGGCCTATGCAAAACACTATCTGTGATATCTCATTGATCAACTCTCTAGAGTTTCAGATTTAGACTAATTGAATTGAAGAACATCAATGTAGAAATAAGCTAACACTTTTGAAATTTAATGTATGAAACTAAGATTTTTTTTGGTGATGTACGGCAATTGAATTGTGAAACGTCGCTTACCTTGTATTGGCGGGTTGTCAGCCCTCCTCAACGATTCCCGTATCCTTCAGAGACTGGTCCCAACCACCGTTGACTTTATCCTGAAGCCAATCTTAACGTTTGTGACTCTTATCCCTTTGCTTAACACCAGTGGGCTTGGCGGATCCCATGCATCATGGCAAGCTTCTGCTAGAGATCAAAGATTGTAGAGCGCCGCGGTGCTATCTCATATCTGGTAGAGATAAGGCCAAACAAAACGTACTAGACTTATATTTGTGGACAAACGCAGGGCTGTTTCGGTAACTTTTTTTTGTGACGTGATATATGTACAGTTCAAGTATATTGTTCCATCCAGGAAGGATGCTTTTTTGTGTAGTTCTGTAAATAATTATTGGCAAATGGTCTCTGACATATAATATGCGATTAGATTCTCATACTGCTTTGAATTAGGTATCTCCAATGTGATATCACGTGACGCGCGTGATGACGTCACCATGACGTTATTTGAATATGGGCTAAGAGATGTGCCTCATGTGACGTCAACATTTGTAACAGCTATGACCTAAAATACCATTAATATTAAAACTGACATGTTATATTATTAAAAATGATATATGCAATATGTTGAAAATCTGTGCAACTGGTATTATTAAAGAAATGAGTGGATGATTTATGTGCGAACAATCAACGAAAAGCTGCTTCGGTCATTACCTACTGCCACAATAACAATGTTGCCAGTGGTGAAAGAAAGGGCGCCCTCTGTATCAAGACAGAATTAAGTGCATTGACCTGACCTGAAAAGAACTCCTTACACCCCAACTATGGTATCGGCCCCAACTGTAGTTGGGATCGTCCCAACTATTCTGCAGTTGGGCTGGCCAAACTATCCGCTCCGTTCACAAGTACCCCATCACCGGCGAAGGAAGTACAGTTGGGGGTGACCGACCGACGCCATCTTGCCTGACTGCAATTCATTTGCCGCGAAGCGCGGCCACTGCGTGTAAATAGAACAAATCCCCTGGTGTACGTGCGTCACACACAAGGAACGGTGCGCGTCAACCAGCGAAAAGTTCTGCCCATGGGGCGTCGTTGCTAGGTAAAAGGGCGCCCACTTTTGGTAGCGCACAGAGCTCATAGTTTGGAGTTTGGGGTGGAGGCCAGCTGCGTGCAGCGCTGCGGCGCTGCGACAACAAGCGTATCGCTAGTAAATTAGGGAGTCTGGCGAATGCCAATGGATTTGTGCGGGGGTTTGTGTTTTCCACTGGACAATACCTGACTTTATTTTAAATGAACTACACAGTGAACTCCCTTGGTGCTAGAACAAGGCCGGAAACACAGTTTCAGTCAGCGCGCAGCGTGCTCGATAAAGAGGCACACAGCGAAGTTTTATTTGCAGCGGGTTGTACGGTCTCGGACCTTCGAGAATTCACGAGGTTTCGCGAGCGTTCGGCAGTGCCCCTGGAAGACCGCCCAGAAACCCGTTTTCGCGGCAGTGTTGGGCCAACATGGAGGGGTGAGTGAAAGAATATTTTTTTCGGCGTCGAATGATACCATTTTTTTAGTGATTATATTATTTTAAAGGTGATTAATTAGGCTTGCAAAATGAGGTATGAAAACCCTTTTTTTCTGCACGTTTTGAGTAATCCTGACTACCTCGGGATATTGATGGATAAAATTTGTCTTTTCCTGGACTCTTGAAGAGTTATGCTTTCAAACCGTACTATTCCCATCTCTGCAGGTTTCGTTGGCGATTTATATTTTGTTGCGAAATATACGCGAAAATTGCATGATTTCGGTCGGCAACGTCTGATTCGGATGACGTCACTCATGTATGCAGTGTGTATTACTATTACTGGTACTACGTACGTGTTCGTACGTAGGAGCATCGCGACCGATGTCGACAATAGGTTCCTACCTGTTACTTTTGCATGTACTCAAGTACAAAACAAATACATCCCATGTGCATGTACACTCTAAAAAAGCATTAGTCAGATTTGACTAGAAACCAGTCAAATTTGACTAGCCATTCAGGGTCAGCTGGGTGCAACTGAAAATCAGTCAATCTGACTAGATTTTTCCAGTCAGTATTATTGACTTTGGAAAAGTAGTTATGCAAATAACTGAAATTGGAGTCGAACCCAACTACGTTTCTAGTCATAGTATTGAACTTTGCATGTGTAACTAAATTCCTATTCAATTTCCAATAACTGGGAAAACTAGTCAATATTTTGAATAAGTTGTTTTTAGAGTGTAGGCTGTGCATTAGGAAAGAATGTAGTATCCAGGCGCCACTTAATTCAGCGGTTGTGTACAAAGTCTATGAGTATGAAAAATCAAGAAAATTAATTTTCTAAGTATTTCCAAACAAAATTGGAAATAATTCTCACATTAATCTCAGTCCCAGATTCATATCTTTTTTTCAACATTTTGCAATGACTAACCTAATAATATTAGGTCTTTCCCAGTAAATGTACATGTATATTGATAGATTATAATTTTTCTCTCCTTTCTCTTTTCTTTAATATACCCTAGGTCAAGTACGCAGCGTGATTTACCCATTTTCCATGTCAAGATAGTTGGAAACAACATCCGCACTGGAAGATGAACATGACCAATTTCAATGGAACTCTATTATTTTACCATGGATGGATTAAACTTAGCCCGACTGCATCTGGCCGTACAGTACTATCGCAAGCTCTGTAGTACGGCCAGACCGCCAATGCTCCCCTACTCGCTGAACTCTGATGTAGCGATTTTGCTACCGATTTTGATCGAGATTATCTTTTCATCCAGGACAGAAATTTCCAAAGTTGAGGTTCCTAGTCATAGTTCCTAGGAACTCATACCTTTTCGAAAAATAAACGATCTTTTATCCCAAAATCTTCATCCATCTGGCCAAAAAGATGACATTCAGTCATCATCGCCCACGAAAATCGTCCCGAAAAATTTCCTCCATGCGATTTCAAAATGGCGGCCGCATTGTAATGTATACATTATGCAGGCGCACTTAGG